ATGGAGCAGCTCTCATTTCTAGAAATATGGACAAATTTATTAAACCCCCCCAAAATATAAAAATAAATAAATAAAATAACTGTCTTTACTCAAGGAGTTCCACATCTGGGTCCATTCAAACCCAGAGACCCTTCCATGTGCACAGGGGGAATCTGCTCTCATCTGTGAACAGCACTCGGTGGTGGACCTGTCAGTTCTGACAGGCTATAGCAAATGCAAACTGGGGACAAATAGAGGATATTGGTTCCTCAAGTCACCCTCATGAAGCCTGTTCCTGATTGGTTGGTTAGAAAAGGACTACTGGAGGTCATTTTGCAGTTCCGCCAGTGTAATGCTGCACGTCCTTGTGCAAAGCCGCAGATATTGGTCCTGTTGATCAGTTGAGGGCCTTTTATGGCTCTGTGCAGCTCTCTCAGTCTCATTGTCCTGGAGTTTTGACCAAGCATTTTGAGGTGGTTTTCTTGGACTCAAAGTTTTGTTCTTTGGATTTCAAAAATGGTTTCAAGTGCATGCTCTGCATTATTTTGTTCTCAGTTCAGTATTTGCTAGTGCGTCTGAGTTTTTTTTAAATATATATATCTATATATTTCTAGTTCACGGGTTCTCAGTGATTTGTCCTGAGCATATGTAAGTAAGTATTTACATGCCATCCTGAGGAGCTGGACTACCTGTTAAACCTCTGTACCACCTCATGCCAATGCAAGAAAAAAAAAGTCAAGGGAGAAAAAAGAAAAATCAACAGTGACATCAAAGACCTGAAGTAAGTTTAATATCACCCTCTGTGTCTCTGTGGTTTTTGCGAGCCGTAACCAATTTACAATTAGATTTACAGAAATCACAAATGCAAAGTATGAAAGGAGTAGAATAATTTCTGTACCTTTTACACATGAGAAATCAAGGAAAAATGTTTTCCCACTAATAAAAGTGACATTAAATACATACATACATACACACTGAGATCAGGAGCACCGCAGACAGTCATCTGAAAGTTAGAAGTCACTAATAATGACGATCATCAGCTCCCAAATACACACTGAGTAACCTTTTTGTAAAGAACTCCCACAAAAACTCTCAAATCGTGATTAAATACCAACAGTTTTCACAGTATAACGCATTCTCCTTGTTTCATTGCCACAACAGCAATTGCCACTCCTGCTCCCAGGGCTGATCCCACTGGTCCTAATATGAATCCAACACCTGCTCCTATCCCAGCAGCCTTCAGGAACTTCGCCCGTTTTCTCGCTTCTTCTTCTCCCATGTCTGGATTTGCTTTCCGAAGTCGTTTCATCTCTTCTCTGATGGCTCTCTCAGCTTCCTGCAGCATGTCATTGGTGTAGTATGTTGCTCCATTTCTCTGAACCATGGTGTTGATCTTCTCCAGCAGCTCTTTGACCTGAGAGCGATCCTCACTCTTGTTGTTAAAAACATGATATCTTCCTCCGCACTGACTGATGAAGCGATGCAGAGGCCGATTTCCACTGATTGAGCTGTAGATGTCGACTCCGTCTTGCAGGTTGTCTCCATACGTGAACAAGACCATAATATAACGTGCTGCATCTTCTCCAAACATCTTCTGAAGAATTTTAATCGTTTCTTCTTCTTCGCTTGTGAATCTGGTCGACTGGATCACAACCAGAAACACATGAGGACCAGGAGCAGCAAAGGTGATGCATCTAACAATCTGTGTAACCACCTGATCTACAGACAGGGTGGTGTCAAATAGACCTGGAGTATCAACCACAGTCAGTGTATGACCATCCACCTGGGCTGTTTCTTGCTGACACTCCAATGTTACAGAAGAAAAAGAAGAAAAAGACTGAAAAGCTTCTCTTCCTAAGATGGTGTTTCCCGCTGCACTCTTCCCTACTCCAGCTTTCCCAAGCAGCACCATCCTCAGGTGGAGGTCCTTTGCATCTGTTGAAGAAGATAAATAAATAAGGTTAGTTGGCCTTCCTGAGGCAGCTCACCACAATCGGACAGTGTGGACTTTGTGTGTAGACGTGATTCAGCCTCAACCTTGGCAGATTAGTGTCTCTGTGGCAGTTTCTGGTGCATCGTTATGCATGATTCTGAATATTAAGTATGTTTTAATTGTTAAACACAGAATAATCATGATTTATATGTGATTTTGCTGATAGTCACTGATCAGAATATTATCGGGTGTAAGTTTAACCAATATAAAAAATAAGAAAATATCCATCGGCCATCTTTTTGTGCTTGTCCAAGCCCGGGTCACGGGACCAGCAGCATTAGCAGAGAAGCCTAGACCTTCCTCACCCCAGCCACCTCCTGCAGCTTGTCCACGGGGACACCAAGGCATTCCCAGGCCAGCCGAGGTCCCCCCCAGGACCTCTTCCCTGTGGGACATGCCCTATACACCTGTCCCAGAAGGCATCCTAGTCAGATGTCCAACATACCTCAACTGGCTTGTATTCCTGTTCTTGTTCTTTCGGTCACTACCCAAAACTCAAGTCAAGTCAAGTCAAGTCAACTTTATTTGTCAATTCTGCCACATGTACAGGACATACAGAGAATAGAAATTTCGTTACTCTCAAACCCTAGATGAAATAGCAAATGAACATTTAAATATAAGAGAGTGATTAAAAAATGCAAATAAAATAATTAAAAAGTAAAAATTTAAATAAATACAATACAATTTAACAAGAAAGCTATGCAATATACAATATACAATATTCAGGTAAGGGTAAATGACATTGAGTGTAAACCAGGCAGAGTAGTGCAAATAGGCAAATAGTGCAAATGGAGATTTAGTAATGTACGGTAAGAGATAGTATAACAACAAAGTCTTATGAGGTAATGGCAGTCCAATGCTCCACAAAGTGACTGGTAACTGTGTGTAGCTCGTCGAGTGAGTGTGTGTGTGTGTGTGTGTGTGTGTGTGTGTGTGCGTGTGTGTGTGTGTGTGTGTGTGTGTGTGTGTGTGTGTGTGACAGAGTTCAGTGAGACCATGGAGGAGAGAGGGGAGAGGGGGCAGAATCGGGAGGGAGTTAAGCTTCCTGACAGCCTGATGGATGAAGCTGTCCTTCAGTCTGCTGGTCCTGGCCTGGAGACTCCGCAGTCTCCTCCCTGACGGCAGCAGCTTGAAGAAGCTTTGCATTGGGTGCGTGGGATCAGCCGCTATGCAAAGGGCTTTTTTAGTGAGACGGGTGCTGTAAATGTCCTGGAGGGAGGGGAGAGAGACACCAATGATCCTCTCTGCAGCTCTCACTATGCGTTGGAGGGTTCTATGACAGGACGCATTGCAGACCATAGGTGATGGTAGGGACCCAGATCCACCGGTAAATCAAGAACTTTGCTTTTGTGCTCAAGACCCAGAGATTCTTAAACTCCTCTACTTGGAGTGAGGCATCCCTGACCCGGAGTGGGCACTCTGTGGGCTCCCGGCTGAGGACCATGGCCTCGGATTTGGAGGTGCTGATTCTCATTCTCACTGATTCCCACTTGGCTGCAAACTGTTCCAGTGTGATCTGGAGGACATCACCTGATGAAGCCAACAGAACCACATTATGTGCGAAAAGCACAGATGAGGTTCTGAGACCACCCAAGTGGAGGCCTTCTGCCACTTGGCTACTCTTCGAAATTCTGTCCATAAAAATTCTGAAGAGAACTGGTGACGAAGAGCAGCCCTGGCAGAGTCCAACAACCACCAGTAACAAATCCGACTTTTTGCCAGCTGTGCGGACCAAGCTCTTGCAATGGTTGTATAAGGATCAAGTGGCTCAGTGAGTCAGACAGCCCATATTCCTGAAGTACCTCCCACAGAGCACTCTGAGGGATACAGCTGAATGCCTTCTCCAAGTCCACAAAAACATGTAGACTGGTAGGACAAACAAACCTGAGGTTTGACTAACAGACGGACTCTCCTTTACAGCACCAGGCACAGACTTTCCTGGGGAAGTTGAGGAGTGTGATCCCCCTATAGTTTACCCCTTCTTAAAGATGGGAACCACCCCCCTACAACATCCAGAGGGTTCAGGAACTGAGGGCAAACCTCATCCACCCAGGGGCCCTACCACCAAGGACTCATTTAACTGCTTCAGTGACCTTACCCCACCAATGATTGGTGAGCCGTTCCCCTTGTCCCCAGATTCTGCTTCCTCTATTGGACATACCAGTGGGATTAAGGCGGTCCTCGAAGTATTCCTCTCACCACAAGGCAATTTCCTCAGTCAAAGTCAACAGCAACCTGCACTACATGGTGCCATGTGCACTTATGGACGCCCTTGAGTTCGAACATGGTCTTTGTAATGGACAAACTGTGGTTTGCACAGAAGTCCAGTAACAGAGCACCGCTGGGGTTCTGGATCCAGGCCTCACTGTCGTTGCCCACATGAGTGTTGAAGGCTCCTAGTAGGACACCTGGGGACAGTCTCCCATAAAGAGAACATAAGCAGAAAATGACTACAAACCATAATAAATCTCTTTGATGTTTGAATGCATTCAGATTTGTGAAATAAAAGCTTCCCTCAAAAGTAAAAACTAACAAGCCTGTTTTGAAAATGTAAAAGGAGTAAAAGACAATATATGACAGATATCTGAAGATTCAGCAGAAAATAAAAAAGAATATTTATTTTATGTCCAAAACAAAAGTGTCACCCTGTTCGTTGGTGTGATAGGAAGGATTACATCTTTGATTTTTGCTTCAGGGATCTACATTTGGCACAGTTACACAGAAAAACCTCATTTGTTTTGTAAATGACAGTAAATGAGATTTCAGCCCATTTTCTGATTGGTGCCGTATTAATAAGCTGATTTAAGCCGTTTAAATGTCCAGTCACCACATCTACATTTTCTGCATACTGATTAGTTTGCTCTTTTCTTCCACGTTGTGCAGTTTTCAGTCTTTTTTCCCTATGTACATTACAGATGCGGAGTAAAAATCCAAATCTTAAATCTTACCATCATGGTAGAATGACAGTACAGTTTCACTTTTAGGGTTTTACATATCAGGAGATAATTTCATGTTTAGGCTGTCCCACTTTAGTTCTAGTTAGTTTTGCCTCAGTGTCCATCTGCCTTTTGTTTTTTTACCAGCCTCTGATAAACGGCTCGCTGTTCGTTAAGTCATAGCTTTGCCTCCTTTTGGGTCCGCACCTGCAACTCCACACAGTCTGCAGCATCTGTCTCTGACAGCAGTTATGGATCAGTGTGACGTCATCAGTGTGTCTCATGTCTGCAGAGTAGTTTTAGTTCACTCTCCTGCCCAGAGATGCTTCAGCTCATTGAGGTTTGCAGCATTCATTCATGCAAAGCGCTCTAAGCTCTGCAGCAGCTCGGTTTGTTTTACAGCTGTTCTGTTGGAGATTTGCTGCTGTGCTTGGATCTTTGTCCTGTTGATGACACAGTTTGGTCCAAGCTTTAGCTGTAGGACAGACATCCACTCAAAGCCCAAATCATCGTCCTTCCACTGCGGTGCCCACAGTTCGTATAAGGTGTTTGGTTTCCTCCAAACGTGCTGCTGCTCATGATGGAGGAAACCCAAAATCCATGTTGGTCTTGCAACCTTTCCAAACCAGCCGCACTTGTTCAGTCTGTTTGTAATTGTGCTGTCGTGCAGCTCTTGGGTGTTCCTGTAAGCTTTGAACACGCTGACCTCTGGTTGAGTTTGCTGGATGTCCACGTTCAACATCAGAAAAATGCCATTGCCATTCCATTCCAACCATTCCATCGTTGTACCAACAAGGAAGAGAACGCTAACCACAAACTGGCTGAGCAGGTTTACTGTATGCGCATCAAAATAAATCTCCTAAATCAGTCTGTCACCGCTGCAGACACCAACCACGGTCTTTTATGGTTTGGTTCCTGCAAGCCATGTAAAATAAATCTGTTTCCAGCACTGCATGGAGCACATGTTTCAGGATTTTGAGCTTCAAACAAATGTTTCACAATAAAAACAACAGCAGGACAAGAGACATAGACACAGGACACAGAAATAACCAATCACAGTTCAGTTTAGCACGTAGGTCTTTTTAAACTTTTTATCATTTGCTATATAACGTTTGTCTAATCAGTAAATCAGGATAAAAGTTGTAAATGTACTTACGAGCTAGTGTGTCGGCCATGTTTGTTAAAAAGCTTTGCACTGCTGCTCTGTGCTGTACCGACGGGATTGGTCCTTCCTTTAATACAACTGTATCTAATGCAACAACAACACTTAGTTAAAGATGCTGCAGGGCAGGTTCCAAAGAGAAACCCGCTGTCATTGGCCAGCCACACAGTGATGTCACAGTATAAACAACCTGAAGTCCCAGAATGACGCTGAGACTGAAATTTCTCTTTTAGAGGAAATCTTACCCTGGTTTAGTATCAGGCAGACAGCAGGTCACGCCACGGGAAATCCATCAGCCCCACCTGACCCCTCAACATCACAGATTCTGGCCATATAACCTAAGGTATGTTTCATGGAGCCATGCAAAATTCATGTTCATGCAGGAAGGTATCTTCTCTGTTTTATTCCAGGAAGAGGAGCAGATAGAAGGCAAGGTTAGACATGAACAGAGAGAGGAGAAGATCCGGCAGGACTGCCACGTCGCTTCCAGAAGAATATAATAATAGTAGTCATAATAATACTTCTTTTTCTTGTAGCATAAAACTGTAGGGCCCGCTGCAGGGTCATCCTTCGTGTGAAGCAGACGGCTGATTTCCAGTGATGGGAATAACGGCGTTACAAGTAACAGCGTTACTAACGGCGTTACTTTTTTCAGTAACGAGTAATCTAACTAATTACTATTCCTATCGTTACAACACCGTTACCGTTACTAACAAGGAAATGCAGTTGCGTTACCGTTTTTCAACAGACGGCTGAAGCTGTGTTCAGCTCACTGCAGCTTATATCAGCTGCAGGAAGTAGCTGTAAGAATCAGGATGCTGCAGCTTTAAGCAGCTGTGCTCCTGCGGACGGTAACCATCACTTTCTGGCACAACAGCTGGAGCTCAGGGGGCAAAACAATCGCACGAGTGCTGCTGTTTGACTGAGGAAGAATAAAGGAGTCGTGGTCAATCACATGACCACTTACAGACAAAGCAACAAGGTGACATATACCAGTTTATAAACTGTGTTGATCGGCCAGTAAAACCAGAGTCATGATAAACAATATACACGAGTGTCTTTTCCTCAATACTTTCACGTTTACTGTCTAAGGACAGCGAGACCGCTCTGCTTATGAGCAAACAAAAAAAGTCAAAAATAAAACAACCGTTTTGTGTTGGTGGAAAAATGCACCATGTTGACCAATCAAAAAATTATATGGCAACATGACGTTTGGTTGTTTAGGAAGAGGCGGAAGTTTTAGGAGAGAGAGAGAGAGAGAGAGAGAGAGAGAGTTTTGGATGTGAGAGATTTGTGACGTTTAGCGTGTTTGCAGTGTGTAGTTAATGTGTTGTCTTGTGTAGTTAGTGTGTAGTGTTGTGGACAGTTTTGTGTTGTGTGTCAGAACAATGAGGCGACTGCTGTCTCCAGGTAGAAACAGCAGTGACACACCTGCTGCTGTCAGACCTGCAGGTATCAGGCTGTGATGTTTCCTTTATAGTGGGCAGAAATTATTTTTTTGGAGTGGGAGAAATAATTTGTGGCATCTTGTTGTTGAAGAACAGCTGATTGTTCTGTAAATAGTTTGAAATGGTTATTTAAAAAAGAGTAAAGGTTAAATGGATGCAAATAACTTTGTTGTTTGCAAAACGTGTGGATATAAATTAAAATTGACGATTTATATTTGCATCTAAAGTTATGAAATATGGTCATTAAACATGTTTGTGGTTGTTACAGTAAAACTATAACTTTTTTGATTTTATGTTTTTTGTCTGATTTTAGATCAATTGTGTTAGTACAGTCAGTCAAAATGAAAACATGACTGTAAATTCAGACACGTGAGGCTGTGCTGAAAACAATGAGACCAAACAAGGTAAATAGTTTTTAAAGGTGAAATGTGGAGGAAACATCAAAAGTAGGTAAAAATGGCCGATTATACCCGGGACCCCAGAGGGTTAAACCTTTTTTTCTAAGTAACGCAATAGTTACTTTTCAAGTAATTAATTACTTTTAGAATCTTGTGACTCAGTTACTAACTCAGTTACTTTTTTGAAGAAGTAACTAGTAACTATAATTAATTACTTTTTCAAAGTAACTTGCCCAACACTGCTGATTTTACACTGAGGTCCAGCGCTGTAAACTTGCAACTGCTGAAGCAAATGAAATCTTTTAAACGAAGGATCAATCAACCAATTATATCAGAATTAAATGGGAGACGGAGGCTAAAATCAACATATCAGAGGACAGTTGGTTAAATATATGCAGGACACAGATGGAAACTACTAGCTCAGGTTATTGGAGGGAATTCAGGTGGAAAAATTTTATTAGGTGTTTTTATAAAACCCAAAATAAAATACAAACAAAAATGTCAACTGACAGATGGACACTGCTGGAGAAACTGTGGGGAAAACATGGCAGATCATTTCCATATATTTTGGAAAAGCCCAATAATCCTGTCATACTGGAGTGAATTGGTCAAATCAATTTACTTGGTGACTGGTCTCAAACTAAATTTGGACAAGAGACATAGACACAGGACACAGAAATAACCAATCACAGTTCAGTTTAGCACGTAGGTCTTTTTAAACTTTTTATCATTTGCTATATAACGTTTGTCTAATCAGTAAATCAGGATAAAAGTTGTAAATGTACTTACGAGCTAGTGTGTCGGCCATGTTTGTTAAAAAGCTTTGCACTGCTGCTCTGTGCTGTACCGACGGGATTGGTCCTTCCTTTAATACAACTGTATCTAATGCAACAACAACACTTAGTTAAAGATGCTGCAGGGCAGGTTCCAAAGAGAAACCCGCTGTCATTGGCCAGCCACACAGTGATGTCACAGTATAAACAACCTGAAGTCCCAGAATGACGCTGAGACTGAAATTTCTCTTTTAGAGGAAATCTTACCCTGGTTTAGTATCAGGCAGACAGCAGGTCACGCCACGGGAAATCCATCAGCCCCACCTGACCCCTCAACATCACAGATTCTGGCCATATAACCTAAGGTATGTTTCATGGAGCCATGCAAAATTCATGTTCATGCAGGAAGGTATCTTCTCTGTTTTATTCCAGGAAGAGGAGCAGATAGAAGGCAAGGTTAGACATGAACAGAGAGAGGAGAAGATCCGGCAGGACTGCCACGTCGCTTCCAGAAGAATATAATAATAGTAGTCATAATAATACTTCTTTTTCTTGTAGCATAAAACTGTAGGGCCCGCTGCAGGGTCATCCTTCGTGTGAAGCAGACGGCTGATTTCCAGTGATGGGAATAACGGCGTTACAAGTAACAGCGTTACTAACGGCGTTACTTTTTTCAGTAACGAGTAATCTAACTAATTACTATTCCTATCGTTACAACACCGTTACCGTTACTAACAAGGAAATGCAGTTGCGTTACCGTTTTTCAACAGACGGCTGAAGCTGTGTTCAGCTCACTGCAGCTTATATCAGCTGCAGGAAGTAGCTGTAAGAATCAGGACGCTGCAGCTTTAAGCAGCTGTGCTCCTGCGGACGGTAACCATCACTTTCTGGCACAACAGCTGGAGCTCAGGGGGCAAAACAATCGCACGAGTGCTGCTGTTTGACTGAGGAAGAATAAAGGAGTCGTGGTCAATCACATGACCACTTACAGACAAAGCAACAAGGTGACATATACCAGTTTA